ATCTTATAAACACAAGATAGCGTTCTCCGCGATTTACGCGTAACAAATAGAATCGTCGGTCAAGGTTCAAAAGTTTCCCATTTAGCAAGAGGGCGCCATTCATGCGCTATTACCGAAGAGAAAAAGTAATAAGTTTTGGAAGAGGGCGTCCAATCTGTTGCCATGGATCTGAGATGGTTCCTGTTCTGCTGTTCACAGGCGGTGTACTGTATGGTCAGATCAGAGCGGTCAAGGGTCAAAAGTTTCCAATTCAGCAAGAGGGCGCCATTCATGCCTTATTACAGAATTTTCACGCGTAAATCCCGGAGAACGCTATCTTGTGTTTATAAGATCTTTGACATTATGTCATGATGTAGCAATTAAAGGTGGCGGAAAAGGGTAAATCCGATGGAGGAATGATGGGTAATACTGCCACTAGGTGGGGGCGCTCTATTGAAAATCGAATAGCGTTCGGAATTCGAACAAAATTGCGTTCAAACTCGAACATGCGTTATAGAGACGCAGCACGCGTTCGCCACGAATGCCTTTAACCGTCATTTGAAGGATCCCTCTAGAACATGGTAGTACTGTCGAGATCAACGACATAACGCGGTAACTCCAAGAGTTACTCTTTTTTTTAAAGTGTTTTAGTGCAATATCATACACTAGACCTAGTAGTATACAGAATATTGTTATGAAAGACAATTTTCATGAAAAATTCAGATACACTACAATAATAAACACATATCTGCATATCATATTGAAGAACATAAGATTAAATTCAAAAATAAAATCTCCTTTATAAGGCAGTAGACACACGCTCCCGCTTGGAGCCTATTTTTAAGTTTGATTGACACTTCGAGAAGTTCAATTGTGACAATAACGTGTATACGTATCTCATGAACTATTTTGAATGATAATTGATAGGAAGACGATTTTAACACTTTTATTAGCTTTCTTACTCAAACAATCGACACCGTCTCCAGCGTAGCCTGGCGGGCAGCTTTGGCAGACGAATAACTTAGCCAATGGATCTGCGGGATTACGGCCAACATCCACACATTCGGCTCCAGGGAAGCACGGAAAATCCGCACACGTTCTTGAATCTGCATAAAAAAAATAAGCATAATTAATCTAAATTAAAACATTATAATAAGAATGATGATAGACCACTGTTGTAAAAGTAAATACAAACAATGAAATCGTGATACTAAATATAATTGTGCACTCAAGCTGTCAAAATACACGACAGAAAGCCTAAATAACATTTACCAGATTGATCCATAACCCCCTAAACCCCTCATTTATATATATATAATATTTTTGTCTATATTTTATTTTGTTTAAGGTTGTGTTATCGCTGATGCTTACCTAATTCAGTACAAGTTGATCCGTCGCCAACGTATCCAAATTTGCACTCACAACTGTAGCCAGGGTTCTCATTAATACAGTTGGCGTTGGGGTCGCAATCGTTTGGTCCGTCGCATTCATTTCGGTCTAAAATAAAATAAATAAATCTAAGGCTCTGAAGCACCTACATCTAAATTTAAAATTACGCACTGCAAGTATTCGGAGAATGAAGAACTACATTTAAAGGGGGAAAAGCATTAAATAAGTAGAACCATCCTCAGATCAATACGAAAGGATTAATAACTTTATATAACCTTTGTTACCTGATATATTAATCTCAAATAGATACTAAAACCTATATATTTCAAATTTTACTAAGTAAAAATATGTGAAAAGATTGTAATGTTTTTTGTCACTGATTATGATGATGCGTGCTTGCTGTTGAAGTTGTTAATGTTGTTGATGACAATAATGATAATAGTAATATGGGCATTGTACACAATTTCAACCACAATTTGATAGAAAAAAAATAATACCAACTTTCACATACCTCTACACACCAGTTCCTTCTTGCCATTGACAATATCATAATTATAGCTCAGACCCTCGGGACAGGAACAGAAGAAGTTTCCGAACGTGTTTCTGCAAACACGATCGACTGCACAGTTGTCGAGGTCTTCTTTGCACTCGTCAATATCTAATAGACAAATAGTAAAGTACGTCACGCCACACATTAGATATAAATATGAACAACTTAATTGTAATTCATAATAGCTATAAATTAAAGTTTAACAGAGGACCATTAAAGAAAAATATAGGCCCTATATATGTG